GGGGGGGGGTCTGACTCTGTGGGGAGCGGCCAGCCCAGCCTCCGTGCCTGTGTCCCCAGAGCTGCCTGGTATACAATGACACCACCATGGTGTGCCGTGCCCCGTCAGTGGACAACCCTACACGTAGCCCACCAGAGCTGGGGGAGCGGCCAGATGAGCTGGGCTTCATCATGGACGACGTGCGTGCCCTGCTGGTGCTCAACTCCTCCTCCTTCCTCTACTACCCGGACCCTGTGCTGGAGCCACTCAGCCCCACGGGCCTCCTGGAACTGAAGCCCAGCTCTCCACTCATCCTCAAGGTGGGCCGGAGTCAGCGGGTGGTGGCACTGGGTGGCGGGGCTTGCGGGGCAGTGGGGCTCTCTGGCTCATGCCCACGCCCACAGGGCCGGAACCTCCTGCCACCTGCGCCCGGCAACTCGCGGCTCAACTACACGGTGCTCATCGGCTCCACACCCTGCGCCCTCACCGTGTCAGAGACCCAGCTGCTCTGCGAGTCCCCCAACCTCACGGGGCAGCACAAGGTCACGGTGCGTCCACGGCCCGCCCATCATGCGTGATCCAGCCCCAGCTCTGGTCTCTTGGGCACCTGCCTTTGACCCCCTGACCCTGCCTCCCCAGGGCAACGCCAACTTTGTGGCTGAGCCCCAGACTCACCTGTGGCCCAGAGGGAGCCCAACGCAGCCCTCGCCCAGCCCTGGTGCCCCTGGGTGGGCGCAGCACCTGCCTGGACTCCCCACTTCCCCGCCTCTCAGCGAGCGTGGTATCAGGGGCCCTCCAGAGCTCCGTGTGGGCGAGGGGCCTCCTGAGCAGCCTGCACCCCCACCCACAGGTCCGGGCTGGTGGCTTCGAATTCTCTCCAGGGATGCTGCAGGTGTACTCAGACAGCCTGCTGACCCTGCCTGCCATCGTTGGCATTGGCGGGGGCGGAGGCCTCCTGCTGCTGGTCATCGTAGCCGTGCTCATCGCCTACAAGCGCAAGTCTCGGGACGCCGACCGCACCCTCAAGCGGCTGCAGCTACAGATGGACAACCTGGAGTCCCGCGTGGCTCTGGAGTGCAAGGAAGGTGCGTGGCCGGGGGGGGGAGGGGCCTTGCAGCTGCTGCCACCTGCAAGCCAGGCCCCGTCCTCTGCACTGACTCTGCTTGGTTTTCAACGTTGCCGACACCTTTGTCGTGCCATGCTCGGTCTCAGGCAGGTGGGCGAGGGCCTGACAGGCTCTGGGGTGAGTACAGCCTTCGTGAGTGCTGCTTGAGACGCAGACTCTGGAGCCAGAGCGCCTGCATTTATGACCTTTCTTGGTGGCAGGACCTTGAACAGGCATCCAGCCTTCTTGTGTCTCAGATTACTCATCAGCAGGATGGGCGTGGTGACCGTCTGTGGGGCCAGGCACGGCACCAAGGAGGAGCCCTGTCTTTAGGCCCTCAGCACATGCAGACCTTGGTTGGCACTGATCTTTGTCCTCGAGGGGCTGTCTCGGTAATTCTCGGGAATTGGGCCACAGCCCAGCCTCTTAAGGAGGGGCATGTGTCCCTTATGACCCTGCTGTGTGAGCGGTGGAAGTCAGCTCAGAGAGGCTCCGGCAGGGAGACATCGTGTAGGCTCTCGTGCAGGGAAGGTCCGGGGTGCGGCTGACTTCCAGCACGGGTTCCTGTGTCTTCAGGCGTCTCTCCCTGTGGGGACGGGGCTGGCACCACGGGCAAGCTCAGCTTCCCCACTGGGCCCAGCTCTGCCCGATCCCTGACGCCACTCCTGGTCATGTGCCCCACTTCCCTGAAGCCCCCAACGGAGAGTGGGCAGACCCCAAGGGCAGGAGGGGGGTTCCCCGGAGAGTGGGATGGGTTCTGGCAGGCAGGAGCTGCAGGCATCCGAGAAATGTGAGCTGTGGGCTCAGGGGTCTGCGGGAAAGGCCAGGGTGGCGGCCCCCAAGCTGGAACAGGGGGATGGCGCCCCATCTCTGTCCTGTGGGTCCCAGAGAGGCCAGTGTGCCCAATCACAGACTCATCCCTGGCACAGCAGACACTGCCACACCTGCTCGTGTGTCAAGCGTGCTGCTGCTACAGGGTGGACGCATGGGTGTTGAGTGCCAGCAGCAGAGAGGTGGGCGCTCAGGCCAGGGCCTGCGCGGAGCCCTCCCTGGTGGCCCAGGATGGAGACCCTGGGCTGCGCAGCAGCCGCTTGAGGGGGTGGGTTCAGCTGCTGTGTGTGCTCGGGGCTCTAGGCAGCAGGCAGCAGCCTTGGCCGGTGATGGCCGTCCCCGAACCTGGTCGGCTTCTCTGGCTGGTGTGAGGTGGTGACACCAGGGCCCTGGACCAGCCTGGGATGGCCCCCCATCTCCTCGTGGCCCCTGGCCTGCCGCCTCCTCAGGGAAGTTGGGGCTGTTACGAGAGGTGGATAGAGCTGCACTAACAGCGATCGACGGGTGAGGGATCCAACTTTTTGCAGATGGCCAGCCCGTAGCTCTGGGAGGCAGGTGGTGGGAGTGCACCTGTTCGGGGCATGAGGAAAGGGAGCCGAGTGGTAGACAGAGTGTGAGGCCCGGTGGGTGACTGCTGCATGGGACCCTCAGGCCTGCTGCAGGCCTGGTATTGGGCTGTTCATAACTCCACCCAGCCCAGAGTGTCGCGTTTGCCCGGGACCTCTGCTTGGCTGAGAACCAGTCCCATGGGACCCAGGCAGGTGTGTGGGGCTTGGGTGGGAGACAGGTGGCCCGGGCGGGGGCCAGGATTAGGAACTCTGCAGGTGGGGTTCTCTTGGGGGTGAGGCAACCGTGTGCTGAGGCCAGCGTGCAGGGGGCCTTTATCTGCCGGCACCATGTGGGTGCAGCGGCCGGCAAGCACTCCAGGGCCAGCGGTCCCCGGCAGATGAAGGTCCCTGCTCTGAATTAAACCTGCCAGCCATCCCCCAGAGCCCGTCTAGCATTCCTCTGGCTCCGGATCAGATAGTGCCTCCCTCGGGCTGTTGCAGAGCAGACACCTCACAGCTCTGGAATGTTCTGTTGAGGCCTGCCCCTGCCCTGCCTGCCTTTGTTTCTGAAAGAAGCAGAGTTGCCCGGAGCAGGTCGGGTAGTGTAGAGGGCCCGGCGGTCAGCGTTCATGCATGTGGTGGCGTGGAGGGCTCGGGGCCTAGGGAGAGCCTCCTGCCTCTCGTACCTGGCCCCATCCCTTCTCTTACCAGAAGCTGAGACAGAAGAGCCACGGGGTGATGTGCCCCCCAGGGTGGTGGGGAGAGCCGCCACCCACAGTCTCCTGGCCCCCAAGCGCCCGCGTTAGATACGAGGAGCCCCTCCCACCTCGGCCCCAGGCTGAGTACCTTCTCTGCTGTTGTCTTGGTTAATCCTGTGACACGTCAGAGGGACAGAGAGTTTTTATCTGTGTGTTTGGACTGGGAAAACTGAGGAGTTTCCGGACGGTCACCCAGCCAGCAAGTAGCAGAGCCAGAGTATGAGCCTGGCCCTGCGGGTGGGAGCGCTGGGGCTCTTGGGCACCTGCTCTGACACCTCGTCTGGCTGTAGCCTTTGCAGAGCTGCAGACGGACATCCACGAGCTGACCAACGACCTGGATGGTGCCGGCATCCCGTTCCTCGACTACCGGACATATGCCATGCGGGTGCTCTTCCCCGGGATTGAGGACCACCCAGTGCTCAAGGAGATGGAGGTGGGCTGTCGTCTGGGGCTCGCTGGCACCTCTGCCCGCTCCTGGAGCTCCTGGGTCCTGGTGGGTGGCCTGGGAACCCTGGGGGGTGGCTCACACCTGTCGGGTGGGGGCGCTGGGAGGCAAGACCCTTGGCTTCCTTTAGTGCTTCGGCAGTGGTGGGGGGATGCGCCTGGCGGGCGTCTGGGGTCAGGGCCAGGCTTCATCCCAACCGGCCACCTTGGCTGGGGCCTGGGCTCCCTGGGGCCTGCCTCTATTTTACAAAGTCCTTTAGCACACTGGGTACCACCTGTAGCTCACCCATCCCGTCTCCTGGCTGGTTGTGGATGCCGAGCTTCTCTGGGCAGGGGGCTGCTGCCGTGCATGCTGGGAGGTGTGGGTGCCCAGCTAGAGTCTGCATGGGCATTTGGGGTGAGTGTGTGGCGCTCAGAGAGCCGGGCTCTGCTCTGTAGGTGTTGGCAGTGCTCAGACTCTTGGCATGAGCTTACTGAGGGCGAGAGGGCTGGCCCCAAAGTCCTCTCGGGGCCCCCAGCGGCAGGCCAGGAGCCCAGGCCCCAGCTAGGAACAGGCAGGGGGCTCGGTAAGTTGGCCTGGTCATGCTGTCCGGCTGAGGGGGTCCCATCTGCACACTTTGTATGTTGGGGAACCCACTCCCGATCGTAGCTCTGTCGGCTGGGCATTCCCTCCTCTGCTGTGCCCGAACGGGCCTTCCTGTCAGTCTGGCTCCGGCCCGGGGCTGCCGTGGGCTGCTCATCACCTCCTCGCCTCCTCATCCCTGCAATTGCTGCCACGTCAAGGGTTCCACGTGCTCTACCGGGTCTGTTTCCCAATGTTGCCATCCACCGTGTTGGTCTTGCTGCCCTCGTAGACTGTGCATTCTATTTGAGTCTTGTCACTTGTCTGCCTGGGCTGGGAGCACGTGCCCCTGGCAGCCTCTGGTATAGCCTTGTGGGGAATCTCCTATACTGACAAGCCTTGGTGTAGATAAGAGAGAGTAGGGACCCTGGAGCCAGCCATGCCTATGTTCCATCCTTTTCCCCCCGCACTTCCATGCTGTGTGGCCCTGAACAAGCCTCTTTCTCTTCTGGATTTCGTTGTCTTCCTCTGTGAAGGGGGGAAGGTGGTTTCTGCCTTGGCGGTTGTGGGTGCAGAATGAGACCACGGCCATACTTTGCTGGTGCCCAGCAGATGGGTGGTTGAGTCCAGCTTTCTCTTAGCTACAAGAGCTAGGGCTGCAGGAGGTGGCCGTCCCAGAGTCTGGCTGCAAAGAGGGTGGCCCTGGTTCTCCACCTCCCACTGACAGTGGTATGCCCTGGTCTGTGCCCGTGGTGGGCGACTCAGCTGCCGGGCCATATCCATTCTGCCGAGGACAGTTGAGGCCCAGGGACCTGTCAGGGCAACGTGTCCCCCGCCTTCAAGGCCTGCTCTCTGGCCCTGCCCTCAGCCCCTCAGCCAGAAGGTCTGCATCCAGGCCGGGTGTCCCTCTGGGTCTGAGTGGGCCTGTGGCCTGCCCCTCCCCAGGTGCAGGCCAACGTGGAAAAGTCGCTGACGCTGTTCGGGCAGCTGCTCACCAAGAAGCACTTCCTGCTGACCTTCATCCGCACGCTGGAGGCCCAGCGCAGCTTTTCCATGCGAGACCGCGGGAACGTGGCCTCGCTCATCATGACGGCCCTGCAGGGCGAGATGGAGTATGCCACGGGTGTGCTCAAGCAGCTGCTGTCCGACCTCATCGAGAAGAACCTGGAGAGCAAGAACCACCCCAAGCTGCTGCTGCGGCGGTGAGCCCACAGGCCCGGGGGCCTAGCTGTCGCGTCAGGCACGGGGATCCTACTCCGGGGCACGCCGCACTGGCCCCCATCGGTGCCAAGGCAGAGCTGTCCCTGTTCAGAGGCCTGGCTCTGGGGGCAGGGGCTGGGGTCTCCATGGCAGTCCCCCAGCTGCCTGACGCCTGGGGTGCCTCTCGGGGCCTGACCTTCAGCTCCACGGGCGGCGGGTGGGGTGGGCACAGTGGCCCAAGTTAAGCCACCCCTATCCATGTTGTGCCCCCAGGACTGAATCAGTGGCGGAGAAGATGCTGACCAACTGGTTTACCTTCCTTTTATACAAATTCCTGAAGGTAGGTGGGTGCCAGGGAGGAGAGGATGTCTGAGGCAGGGTGCCAGGCAGGTGAATGGGTTCAAGGGAAAAGGGAGAGAGCAGGACAGGCAGGTGGGGAGGGTGGGGGTCTCAGTCCAGCGTGGCTCATCATGTCTCAGCATGAACTCTCCAAGGACATGTGTCCGTTGGCCTCTTTCCTCCTCCTGGAGGCTGTCCACACCTCGCCCAGCCCCGAAGCCTCTGTGGTGATCTGTTTGGGGGCCCACGGCTGGCATCTGGCTGAGCTGGAGTTTGGATACAAGCCCAGGTCTCTGTAGCTGAGCCCATGGCCCAGAGCCAAGGATGGAGAGGACACCTGGGCAGCACCTGGTGCTGGCCAGCCTGGCGAGGCTCCTGGGGGCTCCCGTTGGCCCCTGTCGTGGGGAGAGGGTGGCTGTCTGGGCTTCCTCTGTGGTTGCCTGGACAGGCCGCTGCAGCTGGGGAGAGCCCCCCACCCTCGGGAGACGAGCCCTGAAGGCCTGTGGCCAGCCTCAGAGTGGGGCAGAGGCTACATACGGGCCCTGGTGGATTTTGTTCCGAGTGTAAGTAGTTGGACTGGTCCCCTGTGCTTTAGAAACAAGATGATTTGGACCCAAGTGTCTGGTTTCCCTTAAAATCTGAAGGCTTGGCAGACGGGCCCACAGTCTTGAGAGGTGGGGGTTGGTGGGGCCCTGGTGCAGCCCCGTGTGCATGGTTTGTGTGTGCCCCACCTGGTGTCTGGTTGATGCTCTGCAGGTGGCCGAGGTCATGGGCAGCCCAGTGGCTGCTTGGGTGGCAGGGGTCGTGCTGGCACAGGCAACCTGGGGCTGAATTTTGCCCAGAGCAAATTCTTGGTCCTGACTGGGGAGAGAGGTGTGGATTGGAAATGGGAACAGGTGCAAGAGGGTCAGGGGGTCACGGGGACAAGGGATTTGAGCAAAGTCCTGAAGGAAGGGAAGGAGTTAGCCGGACAGAGGGAGCAAGGGCCCTGAGATGGGTGCCAGGTCCAGCAAGAGTGGTCTGGGGGAGCCTGGCTGAGGCTTGTGCAGTGGGGGCCACAGCAGGAGGTGACAACAGCAGTCTCAAAGTGACCTTATCGTAGCCAGTGATGGAGTTGTGCATTTCCCGTAAAAACGCAGTTCTGTGCAGACCACATCTGGTATACTTCCGTGCTCGTTAGGCTGTGTTCTAGAAGCCAAGAGAAGCAAGGGTTAGAGAGTGCAGACAGCTGGTGTTGAGGCCTCAGTGCCTCCCTGTCTGACCCCAGTTCTGCACACCCAGAGAAAGGGGTCTCATTTTGACATACGGTTTGAGAACCTAGGTTGGGTGTGTGTTGTGTGTGGTTCCAGCGGCGGGTCAGGCCCCACAGGACACTACAGGCAGAT